AACTTGACTCGCTAAAACACAACTCCTAACAATGGCCAAGTGTAACCAATGAAAGGGACTGCAGTATAGTGGCACAAGTAATAAATATCGAATCCACGGGTCTCTAGAGTTACTATTACTCAGCTTCAGTTCATTATTTATCAAAACAGATTAAGATGAAAGAACTAAAACTACTCTAGCAAACTACAGTTAAAGTTAATCTAATTACAGGTTGGGAACTCACTTAGGTATGATTCCCCCTAGCCACTAGCCAGATTAACGATTGATGATCTCTAACTTGTTTCACTTTCATTCACAATGCGGAGAATCCTTGACTAGACCTTGAGTCTCGACTAAAGGAACAAGGCCCTCTTGAGTCAATTGCCTAGAGGGACGTATCCTTCTCTAGAACAATCGATCAAGGCGTTCTGAACTAGACTCCCTCTATCGAATGAGGTTCTCAATCGATACAAAGCAGTGAATCAACCCTAGACTAAAGCAATTGATCCACTACTATCAATCTATGGTGCTCTATTGACCTAATCAGGTATTCGCTCTCATAGGATCAAAGCAGAATCAATAATCTCGACTAAAGCAGAATTGAATCGTGAAAACATGCATAGATTGAATATGAACTCAAGATTACCAAGTCAGAGTACTCATACAATCATCCAATCAAACAAACATAGCTAGGGTTCCTCAAAACCTAAGTGAAGGGAAGTTACTCCATAGAGAAGAGAGAGACTGCAGAAATCTGATCTAGATCTTCAATCTCCATCTCCAAGCTTGATTCCCGAGCTCCAATGGCGAAGAAATCCTCCAAAATAGCTCCAAGAATGTTCCCAAGTCGCTCTCTCTCTCTCTAGGGTTCGTCCCTTGGGTGTTTGGGATCCAAGACCCAGCTCTCCCCCTTTCCTTTCGCTGAAAATCGGGTTTTAAACAACAATTCCCGACCCACACGGGCAGGCCGCACGACCGTGCAGCTCACCCAGTTGCCCGTGCGAAGGCTCGGTGATTTCCGCACGGCCACGACTCGCACGGCCGTGCGGGGTTCCAGGATGCCCGTGTGGCTTACCCAGCCTCTGTTTAACGCCTCATTTCTCCCTCGTCCGGACTCCGAATCAGTCGCCGTTTGATCCCAGAGCCTCGTAGTCTCGTCCTCTTTCGTTTCATGACAAGCTTGCATGATTCTTTGTCCATGAAGTGAGGTATAAATCCATTCTTCTTCAGGTCATGCCCGAGTGTCTTCTCCCAAATCGTCAATTGATCTCTGATTGACTTGAAACTTGCGCCTATGCTTCACTTTATGTGCTAGGACCTGAAATGTGACAAAGGAACACAACCTAGCGTAAAATAGGCCAAAGACGCGATAATTCAAGCTCAAACAATCAAGAAACAAAAGGGAAAAACATGTGCAAATACCGAGTCATCACTCACTTCAAGAAATCTGACCCAATCTCAATAATTTCTAAGGGTTGCTGACAGTTGAGTGAAGATTCCAACCACAATAATTCGATTTGGGTCTTCATCGATTTGGCCTCCTGCTGGACGTTTGCCTCTGCACATCTGCATTTTGACACTGCACTTTGTTTTGTTCACAATCTTAGCTTCAGTCTGTGTTAAATCATTACATGTCTTGGTAATGACACTAGGGCCATTTCATGGTCAATATGAACTCATTTAGAGCAATTTAAACACATACATACATAAAGATCAATCATTTATGCACAAAATACATATATGTTTATGAAGCTTATCACAACCCCACACTTAGCATTTGCTTGTCCCAAAGCAAAAGAAAGAAATAATTGAAAGAGAAGCAGATAAACATACAACTAAGACTCCTAGGACTCAAATAAAAGACACACTACTCCTAAGACTCGACTAACACCCTTGTTGCTTGAGTGACGGTGTGAGTCAATCGGGCGGGTTCGGGCTGGGGGTTGGTCGGGTTGTGGTTCATTCGGGTTGCGAGTTCATCGGGTTCGGGTTTATCGGGTTGCGGGTTACTCGGGTTACGGGTCAATCGGGTTGCGGGCCAATCGGGTTGCGGGTCAATCGGGTGTGGGTCAATCGGGTTGCGGGTCAGGCGGTTCAGGTTACGGGTTTTATGGACCAGAACATCATGTTACTTTTTAGTGATTACTAGCAAGTCGTAAATCGTAACTATATGAAGCGAGCACAATACTTGTAAAAAAAAAAGGAATCACTATTCAAAGTCAAAGACTCAAAGGTGGGGGGATCAAATTTTTGAGCAGTAGTATTGGGGGAACCCAAAATTTGGAGAGAAAAGTTTAAAAATAGTTTTTTAATTTTTTAAAAAGAAGTGAAATTGTTCATATAAATGTATAGAGAAATTGTTGTTTTAGCTAGTTAATTGTTTATATGATTTTTGTATTAAACTAAATTATAAAATTTAGAAAAATTGTTATGAGTTCCATTGTAACTTTACTCGATAACATATAATCTACACTCTAAATAGTCTATACCCTGAACCCCAAATGATTTTATTCATGAACATGTGTTAATAAATAACTTGATCCTTTTTATTTATGATTTTGATTAATCTTCGCAAAATCATTAATAGTTTAATACCTTAACCCTAACCCATTACCCTATACGTCGACTCTATATCATATACCCTAAACCCCTAATGGTTTGATTGATGAACATATGTTAATAAAAAAAACTTGATCCGTATTAGTTATGATTTTGACTAATCATGGGTAAACCATTAATACCATATACCCTATAAGTCGATTTTATAATCTATACCCTAAACACCTAATGGTTTGATTCATGAACATATATTACTAAGAAAACTTGATCTTATTAGTTATGATTTTGACTAATCGTGGCCAAACCATTAATACCTTATACTCTAACCATATACCCTACAAGTCGACTCTATAACCTATACCTTAAACCCCTACTGGTTTGATTCATGAACATATGTTAATAAGAAAAGTTGATCTTATTAGTTATGATTTTGACTAACTGTGGTCAAATCATTAAGACTTTATACCCTAACCATATACCCTATAAGTCAACTCTATAACCTATACCCTAAACCCCTAGTGATCTGAATTCTGATTGATGAACATGTGTTAATAAGAAAAGTTGATCTTATTAGTTATGATTTTGACTAATAATTGTTAAACCATTAATACCTTATACCCTAACCCATTAGACTAACCATATACCCTATACATCAACTCTATAGTCTATATACCCTATTACACTACAGGAAAACTGGTTTTCAGTCACGGTATCTTATTCACGGTGGTGTTTCCTATACTTAGAGGTATGCTACACTACAGGAAAACTGATTTCTAGTCACGGGATCTTATTCACGGTAATTTTTACCGTACTGAGAAGTATACTAATAGTCATGGGAAGCATTCCTGTAACCAATTGTATAGTTCTAATCACAGGAATTAATTTACCTATTTGTACTCTTTATTTTCGGTGATTGATTGTTTAGTCACGGTTAACAACCATGAAAAATTTGATTATTTTATTTTATATTTAAAACAAATACACCAAAATAGGAGGGAAAATTTCCCACACTCTTATTCTATGGCTCTAAAACTTTTCAGAATGAAAATTTCCCACCATTTATTTTCTAGCTCCAAAAATTCCCCCCTCTTTTCACGATTTGGCCATCCCACTTTTCCTTGGGAAAAATCCCAATGTACACACGTTCTTAAAAAAAATTCCAAAAATACATAAGTTATAAAAAAAATTCCCAAAGTACACATGTTTGACATTCATCGTTTTAAAATAAAACGGTGAAGTATTCACCGTTTCAAATTAACACGGTGAAGTGTTCACCGTTTTGGTCTAAAATGGTGAATAACCAAAGAGTCAATCACCGTTGTAAACCAAAACGGTGAATACTTCACCGTTTGAGTCCAAAACGGTGAAGCGACGCGGATCGCTGACGTGGACAAATGCGATGTATTCACCGCGTTGGACAAACACAGTGAATACACCGTGTTTGTTTACGTCAGCGATCCGTGCCGATGTGCTTTCACCGTGGCCGTCGGATGCGGTGAGGCGCGGATCGTGGTTTTCTTCGCACGATCCGACGCCTCACAGCACGCCACGTCGCCTCTTCCGGGACTGTTTTCCGGAAGGGCGATGCCTTCACCGCGTCCCTCAAAGACGGTGAAGGATCTCCAATTAAATGCTGCGCAGGCGCCTCCCCCCTTCCCCCAACTATAAATAACCCTCCCCCTCCAACTTTCAACTAACACAACAACCATTTCACTTCTTTCTCCCTCAATTTATCCGCTCTAGTCTTGTTCTAAGTATGCTCTGTGGTTGCGGCTAAGTTCGATCTTCCACATCAGAAAAAATTACTAGAGTTTGACCCTAAAGCCCCCGTCCCGCTAAGTTCCCGTCCCTTACAAACCTCAACCCGTCGAACCTCTGTCCGGCTTCCGCCAAAAAATGGACGAAGAGGCTCTTCGTGTAGGTTTTTGGTTTTTTTTATTTAATCGAAACAATTTTATTTTGTGTTTCTTTTATCAAAACAATCTCTGATTTCATTACTTTTTATAGATGGGTGCCGAGATATACGATCCTCGATTGTATATCCATTATGGCCCAAGGGATGCGAGTCTCTTAACCGATCAAGAAGCTCATCGCTCCCGTGCTATTTGGGATAACAATCCGGTAATTTGATGAGTATTTTTGCTTTATTTTATTATTTTCTAAGGTTTTATTTTTTTTATTTAATCTAATAAATTGATGTTTTTCCTATTTTTCTTAGGAATCTCTTGTTCCCGTGGTTCATAAAGGGACCCATAACTTGCCCGCTTGGCATCCAAGGTTGGAGCCCTATATAGCGAGGACCGGTTTGTTCCTATTTTTATTTTGCTTTATTTAATCTAATAAATTAATGTTTTTCCTATTTTTTTTAGGAATCTCTTGTTCCCGTGGTTCATAAAGGGACCCATAACTTGCCCGCTTGGCATCCAAGGTTGGAGCCCTATATAGCGAGGACCGGTTTGGGAATGTTGCGCCATTTCTTGCGGATCGAAATCGACAACGATCTGCTTATGGCAATGGTGGAACGATGGCGTCCCGAAACCCATACGTTCCACCTTGCGGAGGGGGAAATGACGATCACCCTCAAAGATGTGGCGATCCTCACCGGGCTGCCTATTTCTGGGGATGCCAACATTGGTTCCACGACCAAACCCGAAGGAGGTTGGGGGCCGCTCATACGTGATTGTTTGGGCTTTGACATGCCGACCACCACACCAATTCAAGGACGGGGGCATCCACCGTTGAATGCGGGCCAAGTGTCGGTCCCGTGGCTGGTATCTCACATCCAGCAAGAGGTGGAAATCAATGACGAGACACCAGAAGAACAAGTCGAGCGCTACGCCCGCATCTACCTCATCGGTTTGGTGGGTGGATTTTTGTTCCCCGACAAGTCCAACCGGTGGATTCAAGGCATATGGTTGCCATTGCTCACTGGTGAATGGGATGCAATTGGAGAGAAGAGTTGGGGATCGGCCGTGCTAGCGGGCGTATACCGGGAGCTGTGTACTTGCTCGAAAGTGGGGGCAAAGCAAGCTGGTGCTGCGATGTTCATCGTACAACTGTGGGTATGGGAGCATCTTCCAATGTTCGCACCTCTCGACCCACGTCCATACCGGAGAAACGATGATGAGCTAAACTTTCTGCAAAATCTCCCCTACGGTGTCAAGTAAGTTTATTCCATACTTAGCCCAATTTAAATTTTATTAGATGCTTAGCTAGATTTAATTTAATTTTATTCCGTACTTAGACTAATTTAATTTATTATATGCCATGCTTTATTTAATTTAAATTTATTCCGTACTTAGACTAATTTAATTTATTATATGCCATGCTTTATTTAATTTGAATTTATTCTGTACTTAGACTAATTTAATTTATTACATGCTAAGCTATATTTCAATTAAATTGATTCCGTACTTTTACTCACAAGGTGGATAGGAGCAAATACGAATGACCATCAACCTGAGCATTCGTTACTGTTTTATCGTTCTGAGTTAGATAAACCTTGGTGGAATCAGGTAATCATGTTTTCACCATATTTGAACAAGTTAAAATTTTTCAATGTAAATGGTCGTTAATTCCGAATTTTGAATGAATATAGGTTATATGGGATCCATATCCACGTCAAGTGGTTGAGCTGCATCATCTTAGACACCCTCTGGATCACGAGACGTGGTTGTGCAAGGTGCCATTGATCTGCTGGCACATCGTGGAATGGCACCTACCCGATCGATCCTTGAGGCAATATTGAATGGAGCAACCAATTCCACAAGACCCGCCTCAAGGTTTCAGGGAGCTACATGCTATCGACCTCCGACACACTGCAAAGAACTGGCTCCTAAAGCATCAGTTCTACATCAACATCTGGGAGAATCGAGCCCAATGGGTGGTGCAAGGGATGCCGGAGACGAGACCGATGGGCTACCACGATGGGTACATGCAGTGGTATCGGAAGTTCACCATGAGATGGGTGTCAAAGCAAGGTGCTGTGATGGGTTCGTTGGTAAGTATTCCTAATCTCCCTCATTCTAAAATAAATTTATTTTAAAGTTTAGTTAATTTGATATATTTTGTGCTTTCCTTAGGTTGATGGTTTGGAACACGCCAAGTACACTCTCGAAAGTGCTCCAACCATGGATGAGCGGAAGACTTCTTGGTTGGCCCGACTTATGAACAACCTCCTGAGTTGTACCAGAGAGCAAAGGAGGGATGTCGTGGCCTATCCTCCCGTTCCTGCCCTGGCACGACCCTCATTCCGTGATGATGCACCCATTGTGCCTCCGGTTGAGCCCCCACGAAGGAGCAAACGTAGGCCTCTGCCTACGTTCGAAGAGGTGCGTACAACTCAAGCAACCGAGCTCCCTGAAGCATTTGAGTACCAGTGGGCACCTGCAGCGGATTTTGGTGGAGGGTCATCAAGCTATGCTACATCTCAGCAGGAGAATACGATGTATCGCACCCCGTAGCAGCAGACCCCTCACATCCCGATCTACCAGCAGTCTACCGGTCCATCTCAAACACCTCCACCTCCACAGCCACTCGTAACTCCAGTAGGGGCTCGGATTAAGAGGAATCTACGACAAGTCGTTGAGCGAGCCCGCGAAGAAGCAGAAGGAGGAGGTGGAAGAAGGGGTCGAGGACGTCGTGGAGGACGAGGAGGAAGAGGTAGAGATGGGGGCCAGAATGAAGCACATGAGTGAAATTAAGGTGTTTAGTCTAGTTTTATGTCATTTTAGTGAACTATCCATGTTGTTTTCCATGCTTTTAAGGTATTGTCATTTGAGTTTGCATTGAACTATCCTACGCACTTAACTTTGTCATTGAAACACTTTATTGATGACATTTCATGAGCGAATATTCTGGATCAATTTATCAAGAATTAGTATCTAGTCTCAAAACGAAAAAGTTGAGTAAATTGACCACTATCACGTGGAATTTTACAGATCTCAATTCCGAGTCCAAACGAGTGAGATAAGTTAGTTCAAAGCTGCACATGTCCTAAGAGTAACGTTTGCGTACCTAAAACTAAAACGAACGTATCTTATTCGTTTTAGATCCAAATAACGAGCCGTTTGCGGCTACGCGATCGTATTGGCAAGCACAACATTTTGAAGTGAATAAATATAACCTGGTACGTCTATATAATTTTGACGATTACCGACAATTAAAATTAAGATAAATGACTTGTACATCATTGGTCCTCGGTTAAAGGATTTCATGCTGTTGTGGTTGTCCTGGACAACGCCTCTTGTCATGACCAGGTTGTCTGCACTTGGAGCATCGCTTCGGTCCTCGCCTCGTGCGTTCAACTTGATCCATCTCATTGTGTATCCTTTCAACTCTAGGATGACCCTTGGTGCGTTTTAGGTGCAACGGTGGAATAATCAACTTTCCATCGTATATAGGCCAATACGCTTCATCTGGCATGGGACTCAAAGCTGCATCATACGAGTTCCGTATCGCTTGTTCAGTGTAGTAAGGACTCACCAGAGTGTTTCTGTTCATGGTTAATGACTTAGCTACTGCCATTGCATGTGAACAGGGAATCCTCTCGTTTTGATATTTTTTACATGTACACTCCCCTGATTCATAGTGCAGAGTAACTTTTTGACGATTGTGGCCACGTCTACCTCCACCCCATACACCTGTTTCCACTGCAAATATCCCTTCACTGCGATCGAAAAGAACCACTTTATGCTTACTTGATTTTTTTTCGTTCTTCTGCATTTGCTCAAAACGTCATGTGCTATCGGATGACCAGATATCTCCCTCCCTATCGCTAGCTGCAGCCGAGCCACCCGCCACTCGTTGACCTTCCGGTATGACATCTCCACTATGACAGAAATAGGCATCGCTCGAAGGCCCTTATACACATTATTTATACTTTCTCCATGGTTGGTAGTTGCAATGCCCCATCTGGCCCCGTTGTCCATATGGAACGTCCACATGGCCAATTCTTGACCTTCAGCCCATACTGCTCCAGCTCGGTGAGTCTGACGGATCGTCTTCATCTTCTGCTCGTACTTTTTTGGCTGATGTGCAACCGCTGCAAGGTGAACAATATAGAAATGGTCAATACATGATTAACAAAAAAATATTAAACACATAGATAACTCGCATTAAAGTACATTAGTACCTGCATGCCACAGTTGATTTTTGATGTCTTTCTTCTTTCCAAATTTGTGTTGGAAATTGGCGAGCAGTGACGAATACACCAGCGCCATGTCCATCACCACTCGTCAGGAAAACCATCCACGGCATTCCTAATTCCCGCGTGTCGATCGGATATAATCGTCAAACCCTCCCGTTGTGTCACGTGTTCGTGTAGTTGATCAAAGAACCATGCCCAACTTAATCTGTTCTCCCCTTCCACTATTGCAAATGCAAAAGGGAAAATTCGCCTGTTTCCATCAACGCCAGTGACAATGAGAAGAGTTCCTCTGTACTTCCCAGTGAGGAAGTTTCCATCAACCTAATTAAATATCAGCACCTAATTAGTATGAAATTTACTTGGTCAGCAAGAATATAAATATTTTAAATAGTAAACATGTTTTAAAATACCTGAATAACCGGTATGCAGAACGCAAACCCGTTGAACGCCCAAAAAATACGGTGAAACATCAACTTCTCCTGTACTCGAACTTGATCCTCAGTGTATAAATTGTTGTACACTGGCACGAAAACAGTCCCAGGGTTGGACTCCTCCAATGCGGCCATAAGTCTAGGGAGTAAAGCATACGAATCCTCCCAATCACCATACACCTCAGCCATGGCTTTCTGCTTCCCATGCCATGCTTTTTTGTACCTTATGGTGTAAGAATGTCGATCCTTCACCTCGGCCATGATAGCTTTGACCTTGATATCTGGTTGTACTTCGATAAGGTGTTTAATAGTTCTCCCAATTTTCTTTGACTTGAGTTGCCTGTGATCCTGGGAACGTATGGACGAGGAGCAAGTGTGGTTGGTCTCGGCTTTTCGAATCACCCAGGCACCCTTTCTCTTCATATTTGCAGCCCGCAGTTGCCACGTATAGCCCTCTGCATCATTTTTGCATATGACATGTAATTGTTTACTGTCAGAATATTTTACCTTCCACTCGAAGTTGCGCATCAAGGCCTCTTCGGTAAAGGCATCCTGGACAGCGCCCTTCGATGAGAACGTCATACCCACCTCCAAATTGGCCTTCGGATTATACACTGGCATAGGGACAAAGTCGGGGGCATCATTCTGACTATGTAGAAATTGAGTTGGAACCTGTGTGTAGTATGGCGTGGGTGCCTCACGAAATGTCGCCTCGTCGTCGTTATCATCAGTATCTTCCTCCTCGCTCACTGATCTCAAATCTTCCTCAGTATCATCATCGCTCGAGTCGAATGGATAGCTCGCCCCAGAAAGATCAACATGACCACCATCACCAGCATCGTCTTCTCGCTCATGTGAAGTACGCTCTGCTCGAAGGGTATTCTCGATTTTAGCCCACTCAGGCCCCCAAGCAGGCCATTGAACGCCATCGACAGGTTGATCCTGTTGCGAGTATTGTTCCGATGGCACCCATCCTACACCCCATCCTGCACTACTACCTTCACCGTAGTTTATTGAACCACCACCCTCTCCGTAACCTCCTGTATAACCACCTCCTTCGTAGTTGCTCGAACTACCACCCCATCCGTACCCTCCTGCAAAACCATCATCATAAGAATACTGCTGAGAATGAGTTTCACCGACCGCCTCGGTCTCAACATACACCTCCGCCTTCCGCATGTCGTTATCGCTTAGGAACTGTAACATCATCGTAACCCCGTCGTCATCGTTTATGACAACTGCTTGGTACAGAAGCCTGCTAGTACTCATACATGGATACCGGTAAGTAATTTTACCAAGTCTCGTCTGTCCACTCGTACAAACCCTGTCTGCACAAATATCACAGTTCCTGAAAATTGAATCGCGACTCAATTTTTTGCTTAGTGGATACACCGTCCTCATAATCAATCCCTATGTCAGAGTTTGTAACCCTTCCATTCCACCGAATAATAAGCAGAAACTTCTTGAATTTACCCATATCTACAATTTACAATAAGGAACTATTAGCATAATTCCAGTAATTCATAACATCGGCCATATTTGCTACGATAAGTAATTCATAACATAACAATATAACTACTAAAAACAA